CTTTGCATTAGGAGTACTTAAAAAGTCCTTTATTCTATTAAAAGGTTTATCCTCCCCATGCCCCAATACTATTATTTATATACATACTATTAAATATTACAATAAATATTTATTACAACAAATGTTTTGTTTATTGTATTAATATATATTAGAATATTATAAATACTATTAAATAAATGATAATCAGTATTTTTGGGTAAATTTATTCTTGTCTTAAGTCTTTAGCTTTTGCCTTTTGAAATATCATACCTACTGTCTTACCCTACAGGAAAATAGGGAGAGAAGGGGACAAGACAGCAGGGGATGATAGAGAGAGGGCAGATTGGGAAAGGGGGTAATCAGAAGTAATACTTCTGAGGAGGGACAGGGTCAAAAAGAAAGAATAGAAAAATGCGAGGGCAGGATAGGATTAAGGGAAATAGAGTTAGTTTTTCACAACATGTCTACTATGGACGTGTTTTGCATAATTGAGTTGCTTGCCTTTTCAATGAGGGTGGGTGAGGAGGGAGGAAGGGAGAAAATTTGACACCTAAAGTTTTAGAAACAATATGTTTAAAAAAATGTTTTCATATGCTACTGGGAATAAGAAATATAGAAATGGAGTACAGAAGTCTATCCTGCCTACAGGAAAATAGAAGGGGAAGGAATAAGAGAAGGGGAGAGAGATAGAAGAGAGGACAGACTAGGGGAAGGATATTCAGAATGCATGACATCTTGGGGTGGAGGGAGGGGGGAGATGGTGTGAAAATTTGGAACTCAAAACTTGTGGAAGTGAATGCTGAAAACTAAAAATAATATAAATTTATATTTAAAAAAAATATCATACCTATGAAAAATGTTATGGAGAAAGAAATGACAAACCTTGGTGAATTTTATTTATGAAAATAAATTGTAAAAACAAACACCTTTGAAGGACTTAACAATGTTGATCAAACCTTTGAGAATCCTACCTGTGTCCCTGATAGACAGGTGTTGCATATATAAAGAACAAGACACATGTTTATGGAAGTAGCCAATGTTGGGAATCCATTTTGCTTGACTTTGCATATTTGTTATCAGAGATTTTTTTCTTTTTTTTTTTCAATTCAGAGAGTGGGTAGTGCCTTGAGGAAGAGAGAAAATAAAATGCTTGGTTTTTTTTAAAATTTACAACAACAAAACACTACACATCACATATATCAACATTACATATACACATACATATACATATACACATACATACTTATACATATACATTATACATAACATATTATACATACACAATATACATACACATATACAACATAACTATACATTATACATATACATATACATATACTATACACACATACACATATACATATACATATACCTATACATATACAATAACATACTATATACATATACATATACATATACATATACAATATACATATACATATACATATACATATACAATATACATATATACATTCATATACATATACATATACATATATTCCCTACAAGTGTGCCTCACCTCCCTATGATGCTATGTGTATCTGTAGGAGTTGTTTTCAGTTGAAGGGAGAAATGTCTTATAGCTACTGTCTTTACTATTTCTTCTTAAGCTTTCTCTATGAGCTAATCATGTCTGTCAGTCAACAAGCATTTGTTAAGGATTTCCTATGCACCAAACGCTGTGTTGAGTACTGGACATACAGTAAAAAAAAAAAAGCAAAAATGGACCCTGCCCTCAAGAAGCTTATGTTCTAATGAGGGATGCACATAAATAAGCATGTATAAAATACTCATAGAGTAGATGGAAAAGTAACCATAGAAAGAAATGCACTAGCAGCTTGGGGGGGAGGGTGGAGTGTGAGGAACAGGAAAGTCATGGAATCCTTCCTACAGAAAGTGATGAATGAGCCCGTCAGGAATTCTAAGGGTAGAGGTTAGAGGGAGAACACTCCAGGCAAGGGGGCAGCCAATACAAAGGCACAGAGATGGGAAAAGGAGAATCAGGTGGGAATTAAGCTGTTTGGGTTGAACCAAAGAAATGAATATGGAGGAGATTAATATTTAAGAGGTCTAGAATAAAGGAGGTTTCATGTTGTGGACAGCTTTTAAATGTAAAACAGAAGCATTTGTTTCTATTTGATCCTAGGGGCAAAGGAGAGCAGTGGAGTTGATTAATAGGGGAGCAGCATAGTCAGACCTCAGTAGGTCTGACTTCATAGCACAGGCAAGAAATGGTGAGAGCCGATCTAGTGTGGTGTTGTTGTGAGTAGATGGAAGGAGAGGGTGGAAGAGAGATAGCAGGGAGGGAGAAATGACAAAATTTGGCAAATGATTGGATATATATAAATATATATATATATTATATATATATATATATATATATAATAATATTATTATATATATTATAATATATATATAGGAAGGAGAGAGAAAGGAGTCAAGGATGATTTTGGTTGTGAATCTGAGAAACTGGGATCCTGATATGAGTACTGATATCCTCAACAGAGATAAAGTAGTTTGGAATGAGAATATTTTTCAGGGGGAAAAGATAATGAGTCCTGACTTGTACATGTTAAGTTTGAAATGGCTAGGGGATGTCAAGTTGGAAACATCCAATAATCAGTTGATAATGTGGGACTGGAGCTCAGGAAAGAGGAGAGGGAGACAGAGAGAAAGAAAGAGAGAGAAAGAGAGGCAGAGAAAGAGACAAAAGGAGAAAGAAACAGAAGGAGAGAGAGATCACAAAAGAAGAGAGAGACAGAGAAATTAGGGAGTCACAGAGAGGATAGAAACCATGGGAGATGATGATTAGATCACCAAGCAAAAGGTTGTAAAGAGAAAAAAGAAGGAAATTAGGACAGAGCCTTGTAGCACATGTACAGTTTCCAGTGGAGCATGGAAGATGACTTAGCAAAGGAGACTGAGAAGGGGCAGTCAGAAAGGTAGAAAGAGAAACCAAGAGAGAATTTCATTTAAAGAGAGAGAGAGAGACAGAGAGAGAGAAAGAGAGAGAGAAGAGACTTGATCAAAGAGATCTATCAAATATAGCACAAAAATCAAGAATGAGGATTGAAAAAAGGGCATGCTATTGGGCATTTTCAATATCACTGGTAACTTGGAAGAGAGCCTTCCTTCCCAACATTCAGCTGAGTGTAAGGTTCCTTATATATTACTTGTGTGACCTTAGGCAAGTCAGTCAGGCCCTAATTTTTCCAGTGGTGGGGAACCTGGGACCTCCAGCCACATGTGGCCTTCTAGGTCCTTGAGTGTGGCCTTTTGAAGGATTCCAAGTTTTACAGAACAAACCTTTTATTAAGGGAATTTCTTCTGTGAAGTTTGGTTTCAGTCAAAGGGCTGCACTTAGGACCTAGAGGGCCATGTGTGGCCTTGAGGTTGCAGGTTCCCCCCCTGTAGCTAGACATTGTGCTAAGCTCAGGAAATAGAAAGAAAGACAAAAGACAGAATCTGTCCTCATGGAGCTCACCATCTAATGGGGAAGGTAACATGCAAAAATTGTAGGAAAACAAGAAAAATAGAAAATAATCACAGAGGGAAGGAACTTAAATTAAGAGGGATTGGAAAAGGCTTCCTGTAGAGGGTGGGATTTTATCTGAGACTTGAAGGAAGCCAGGGAGGCCAGGAAGCAGAGATGACAAGTGAGAATATTCCAGGCATTGGGAGAAACCAGTGATAATGCCCAGAGTTGGCAAATGGAGTGTTGTGTGCAAAAGCAGCCAGGAGGCTAGCGTCACTGGATGGAAGAGTCCTTGGTGGGGAGTAAGGTGTAAAAAGACTGGAAAGGAGAGGAAAGGCTAAGTTCCAAAGGGCTTTGAATGACAAACAAGCATTTTGTATTTGCTTCTGAGAGCATCAAGAAACCACTGAGGTTTTCTTGTGATATAATCAGACCTGAGTCCTAGGGAGGATCAGTTTGACAGCTGAGTGAGAGATGAGCTAGAGTGGGGAGACACTTGAGGAAGGGAGACCAACCAGAAGATGAGTGCAACAGTCCAGTGGTGAGGTGATGAGGGCCTTCATCAGAATGGTTATAGTGTCAGAGAACAGGAGGCAAATATGAGAGCTATTATGAAAATTAAAATGAAAGGACTTGACCACTGATTGGAAGAGGTAGAGAAAGAAAGTGAGGAGTTGAAGAAGCCCTGTAGGTTGTGAGTCTGAGTGATGGGAAACATGGTGGTAACCTTGATGGTAACAGAGAAGTGAGGGAGAGTGGAGTGTTTGGTGGGAAAGATTGCAATCAGTTTTGGACATGTTGAGTGTAAGGGGTCTAGAGGTCATTCAATTGGAAATAGCTAAAAGGTGATTGTAGAGATGCCCCTCCCCCACCCACTTTCCTAAACCAATGAGTAGAAGACACACACTAGACTACGTCTGAAATCAACTTCCAATTTCAAATAAACATAATAACTCACGTTTATAAAGCCTTGAAAGGTTTGCAAAGCCCTTTACAAATTTTATTTTATTTGATCCTCATAATAGCCCTCGGGGCTGTTGCCATTATTATACCCCACTTTACAGCTGAGGAAACTAAGGCAGAGAGGTTAATTGATTTACCCAGGGTCACACAGCTAGTAAGTATTTGAGGTTGGATTGGAACTCAGGCCTTCCTGACTCAAGTCTCATGCTCTACCATTCTGTCATCTCATAGCTCTGGCTCTCTGAAGCCTGTTCTAATTAGCCCTACCCAGCTCCATTTACACCAATGTCCCTTCAATATATCTAAGCTTGATTTACACTGCAGTCATTTGCCTGTGGTTGTTGCTATTTCATAAACATTCTTGTCACTTTCATATTAGGGTATCCTCTCTTTCAGGCCTTATCATAAGCCTTACTCCTACCTGGAAGTTTACAACCTTTAGCAGTGGGTCTTAGGAGAGACAGATGGGTGTGTTACACAAAACACTCAAGAGACAAACTTGCAGAATTTCCAATGCAATTTATTGCAGACAACACAAGAAAATGGAGAGTTTGAGATCTCCAGAAAAGTCAACCAACCAGCTTACACCTTATACAAAAACAAAAAACAAGAAAAAAAACCAACCCAGAATTTGTTACTGCGGTATGGAGACACACTCCCAACGAGTGCTAGATTGAAATGGCTCTCCTTCTACTTGGCTGGGGGAGAAACTTTTGAAATGTAGAGTGGGCAGTGATGATGGGTGGATTTCTCAGGCTACAACTTCATGATTGACCAAGGGAAGGGTTCATTCATGTCAAGACCTGGTTTCACCATTTGAGACACAGGAAGAGGGCAAGCCAAATGATGAAGGCCTGGATAGACAATAGCTAGCAAATGGGAAAGATGGGGAAGATCATTGCTCTAAAAGGCGAGAATCATCAGTGACCCTCCCTATGCACCCACAGAGAGTAAGAGCAGTGGAAGCCATGGGGTTGAGGTGCCCATTGGTTGGATAACTTACAAAAAGCTCTAGGAATTAAGGTCAGTGAAAGGAATTGGGGGGGGGGTCGGGTTAGGAAAAGAAGATGAACTGCTGGAGGCCATCACATTTTATTTTCCTCAAGAAAAGTTGAAGGTTTTGACATCAAGAATTGACTGAGAGTGAACAAAGACATTGATCTAAGAGATGGCTAACAGGGAGCTCTGACTTTAATTGGTGACTGTAGAATAACTGGTAGAAGTGAACTTCACACTAGAGCTGCCACTAGAGCCCTTGACACTCCCAGAGCCACCACCAGAGCTGCTGCCTCCTCCTCCTCCTCCTCCTCCAGAGCTGGAGCCCCGGCCTCCTGAGGAACCATAGCCTCCTCCTCCAGAGCTGGAGCCCCGGCCTCCTGAAGAACCGTAGCTGCCTCCTCCGGAGCTGGAGCCCCGGCCTCCTGAGGAACCATAGCCACCTCCTCCAGAGCCATATCTGCCTCCTCCAGAGCTGGAACCATAGCCGCCGCCTCCAGAGCTGGAGCCATAGCCGCCGCCTCCAGAGCTGGAACCGTAGCCACCTCCTCCAGAGCTGGAGCCATAGCTGCCGCCTCCACCTCCACCTCCGGAGCCATAGCTACCACCACCTCCAAACCTTCCTCCTCCACCACCAGACACAGACACATGGCTGGTGCTCACAGCTGTGGAAGACATCCCTGCTGTTATTTTGGGTACCACTCATCACTGTACGAAGTCCACCCCATCCCAAGAAGTTTTCCAGAGCCCAAAAAATCATTCTTGATACTTACACACACTCACGTTTGGAACACACTCTCCAGATACCCTAAAAGGAAGATAAAAAGACAGTTCCTATGACTCAGCTCAACAACCCCATTCTCATCCCATACTTGACACTACTGACCTTCCTTCTAGGCTGTTCACTTCCTCATCACCCAACCTAAGTCTCTCCCCCCTGCCTTTCCAAATCATAGATCAATTCCCAGAAATCATTATAACAGCTTAAATTTCCAGTAGCACCAAAAGCTCTTCTTTCCACAAGCCTGTGAAATAGTTCAGTAATGCTTTAAGTCCACTGCATTTGGGGCTTACTACAAAGAGGGAGGAAAGTGGGACAAGGTGGAAGTCAAAGAATCTCACCTCCAATACTATCTTTACCATTTTACTGCCTGTGTGACCTCAGATCATTCACTTAACCACTCTGAACCTCAGTTTCATTATTGGTGAAATGAGAGGGTTGGATTCAATGGCCTCTAAGGTCTCTTTCATCTCAAAGTCAATTTTTCTATGACCTGGGGCAAATACTGGCTCTACAACTGACTAGCTGTCAGAGCTTAGGGAAGACATTTAATGCCTGTGGGCCCCTGGACTCTCATCTACAAAACAAGAAGGTTAGACTCCATGATTCCTGAGGGTCCTTTCATCTGTAGGTCCTGGGTTCCTCTAACCAGGGCCATAGAAGGACTATAATCCTTCTATAGGGTGTGCTAGGCTAAGGAATGCTAATTCTTCTTCATTAAGACTCAGGGAGAGAAAATGTGGGGAAATCGAAACATTAATGAATTGTTGGTAGAGTTGTGAAATGATATAACTATTTTGGAGAGCAATTTAGAACTATGCCCAAAAGGCTATAAAAATGTGCAGAGCTTTTAACCCAGCAATAGCACTTCTGGCGCTCTACCCCAAAGAGATCACACAAATAGGAAAAGGAGCCACAAGTACAAAAATATTTGTAGCTGCTTTTTCTGTGATATCAAAGAATTGTAAATTGAGACAATGCCCATCAATTGAGGCATGGCTGAACAAGTTGTGTTATATGAATGTAATGGAATACTGTTGTGCTATAAGAAACCATGAGCAGGCTGACTTCAGAAAAACCTTGAAAGACTTGTATGGATTGATGCTGAGTGAAGTGAGCAGAACCAGGAGAACATGGTACACAGTAACTGCCATGTTGTGCTATGACTAATTTTGATAGACTTAGCTCTTCTCAGCAATACAAGGATCAAAGACTTCTCCAAAAGTCTCATGACAGAAAATGCTATCCATATCCAGAGAAAGAACTATGGAGTTTGAATGTAGATCAAAGTATACTGTTTGCTCTTTTTCTCTTCTGTTTCCTTTTGTTTCCTATTTCTTCTGGTTCTGCCTAATGGTCCTAATTCTTCCTTACCACATGACTACTGTGAAAATATACTTTAATAAGAATGTATATGTAAAGCCTATATCAGATTGCATGCCATCTTGGGGAGAGAGGGAGAGAAAAATTTTAAATTCAAAAGCATAAGGAATTGATTATTGAAAATGAAAAATAAATTAAAATAATTAATTAATTAAAAAAGACTCAGGGAGCTTATGCCACCAGGAAGTTCCCCTGCCTTCCCCTGAGTGTGGTTCAATACTCTTCAGTGGTCATCCCTCACCTGCTCTCCTCTCCCTCCAGCAGCTTCCTATAGGTGGCAATCTCAGCATCCAAGGTCAGCTTCACATTATACAACTCCTGGTAGTCCCGCAACAGCCGGGTCAAGTCCTCCTTGGCCTTCTGCAGTGCATCCTCCAGGTCTGCCAGTTTGTTCTGGGCATCTTTCAGGGCATTCTCCCCACGCTGCTCTGCATCAGCAATGGCTTGCTGAAGCCTGGCAATCTGCAGGAGGAGACAGCAAACCATGAGTATGGATCAGGTCCTCAGTCCCCACTCACTACCACCAACAGCCACTACTAATCCCAGACCCCTACTTTGGCCCTCTCAGGAGAGAGCAACAATAACAGTAACAACAGCAATAACAATAACTACCGTTTAGCAACACTTGAAAGTTTGCAAACACTCTTAGTTGATCCTTGCAACAACCTGGCAAGATGGCTGCTATTATTATCCCCATTGGACAAATGAGGAAACTCAGGCTGAGAAAGGTAAAAGCCATTTGCCCAAGGTCACACAGCTGGTAATCATTCAAGGAAAGATTCAAATACAAGTCCTGTCCCTCTATCCATTGCCTAGAATGGTTAAAAAAAAAAAACCTGGGGCTAAGGACCCATTCTCCAGCCTCCAGATAGGAACTAGAATGCTCAAGTATGCAACAGGACCTTACAGACACCTAATATACCCCCAAAATGCATCTGTAACAACCTCCTTCCACATTCCCAACAGGTGGTCCTATGGCCTCTGTTTGAGTACTTCCAGTGACAGAGAACCCACTGACTCACAAGAGAGTGAATTCATCTGTCCAAGCCTATCTCGGGCACTTGTAACTGTTAAAAGTTCTTTGGCCTTTAAGTCCTCATCACAAGATTCTCTCAAGGAAACCTTAGTCACTACTGAAACTATGGCTCCAGTGGGGATTCTCACAGGTGCACAATCTCAAAATTGGCAGTGACCTTTCAAGTCATCTAGTCCAGCCGGCCTCGTTTTCCGAGTAGAGAAAGCCTCACCCAACAACCCCATGGTAGCCCCAAGGAGGATGGTGAAAGAAACCAGTACCTGCTTCTTCACTGAATCAATTTCAGAATTGAGTCTCTGAATCATTCGGTTCATCTCAGAAATCTCACTTTTTGTGTTTTTCAGTTGGTCTCCGTGTCTCCCAGCAGTGATCTGGAGCTCTTCATACTGAGAACAGGAGAGCAAAGAGATGACTCATGAGTGCATCCTGACACACAGCGAACCTTACGTACAAAGTTCAAGGAAGCCAGAGGCCTGCTGGGGAGACTCTATCCGCTCACTTTGTGCTGGTACATGGACTCGGCCTCAGCTTTGCTCCTCTCAGCAACCTCATCATAGTGACTCTTGATCTCATCAATGATGCTACTCAGGTCCAGGTTCCTGTTGTTATCCATGGAGAGGATGACATTGGTGTTGCTGATTTGAGTCTGCATCTGGGATAGCTCCTACAAGATACAACACTGCTGTGAGTTTTGTGCCTTCCAGAGACAAAGCATGAACTGCCACCAGTGTACATGTGATTTTCCCATATTTTGTGTGATGCAGAATGAAGATGTAGGTCCATGTAGATGATCATGAGCTTACTTACTGTGTCATACAGGACCCTGTAGAAGTTGATGTCATCCGTCAAAAGATCCACCTTGCCCTGAAGGTCAACCTTATTCATGTATGCATTGTCCACATCCTGTAGAGCCAGAGTAAGAAGTCAAGCAACGATTATGCATTCAGAGGAAGGTGACCCCCTGTGGTTGCATGGAACAGCTTCTGGACTGAAAGGAGTCTGTACTTTTCCAAGATAATGAGGATGAAGAGGATGAGGAATTTGACTCCTGAGCTGACCTTCATTAAAACCCTACCCACCCTTTGGCATCTTGGGAATTTCCCTCACTTGCAAAGGGGAAGTCTTCTGGCTCTGCTTACCACGCTGCAGACAGGAATATGGGGAAGGCAACTTACTATGGGGGCCAGAGAGCCAGATAAGTATGATACACTGGTAAGAAATATTCATATTTCCCTTCAGCTAAAACTGAATGCACAGTTTGATTCTCCTTGCTTCTTTTGGGGCTAGTATAGTAAACCTGGACTTATTTTCCCGGATTAAAATGTGAGCTTCATTCTATTAATTTGACTCGCCTTCTTGATGGTCACAAATTCATTCTCTGCATCAGTACGTTTATTGATTTCATCTTCGTATCTGTTGGAGGGGAAAAAGACAGGATGGATGGTGAGGTTTGGGGAAGGATGAGCCCTAGAGTTGAACATTCTAGACGGAGTGATGAAAAATATCATTGATTCCCTCAGTCCTGTATAAAATCATATCAACCTGGGAATGTCCTCTTATCTATCTCTCTGCTTCTGGACAACACAACTGTTCAACTTTGTGTAAAATACACTTCTATGAGCATGTAAGTTTCTAAAAAAAAGATAGTCCGAATTGCTTCTGAAAAGGAAGAAAAGAAGGAAGGGAGGGAGGAAGGGTGGAAGGAAGAAGGAAAAAAGGAAAAAAGAAGAAAGGAATCAGTGAAGGTGAGAGTGAGAGAACCAGCAATTTATAAGCATCTTCTATGTTCCAGGAGGGGCAGCTAGGTAGTGCAGGAGATAGAGTGCCAGGCCTGGTGTCAAGAAGACCAGACAAATCCAGCTTCAGACAATTACTAGCTGTGTAAACCTGGGCAAGTGACTTAACCTTGTTTGCCTCAGTTCCCCACCCTTCCCCACCCCATGAGCTAGAGAAGGAAATGGCAAACCATTCCAGTATCTTTGTCAAGAAAATCCTGAAAGGGATCACAAATAATCAGACATGACGAAAACAACTGAACCCCACCATTAATATAGTCCAAGCACCATGCTAATTGCTTTACAAATATTACATCATTTCATCTTGCAAACAGCCCTGGAAGGTAGATGCTATCATTGTCCTCATTTTATAGATGAGAAAATTGTGATTAAATTGATTATATTAGATAGATTAAATGATTTGCCCAGGATCACACGGTTAATATATGTCTCAGGCTGAATTTGAACTCAGGGCTTCCTGACTCTCAGCCAGTATATTGTCCACTGGACCACCTGGCTGCCTCTGAGGAGGGGAGAAATGCCATCCAATTAGGCCTCTCTGTTCCCTGACACTCTCTAGAGCCCCCTCTGGCTACTCTCTGGGAAGCCTTCTCAGGGGTAATGCCTTGTTGTTCAGCACAGAGGGAGCACAGGAAAGGCAGTTGGGGCCATACTTTCCCTTGAAGTCCTCCACCATGTCTTGCATGTTCTTCAATTCCGACTCCATCCGTGAACGGTCATTCTTCAGTTTATCCAGGTTCTGCCTGAGTCTAGATATATAGGCCTCAAAGAGGGGCTCCAGGTTCTGGGTTCGAGTTGAAGTGTCCACCTGCTGCAGCAGCTCCCATTTGGTCTGCAGCACCTGGTTCTGCTGCTCCAGGAACCGCACCTGCAAACACCAAGTCCCCCAAAGCCTTTAGCCAAGGCATGGGGCCTGGGAACTGCTGGTCCCCAAATCAAATCCCAGAGGAAGAGCAAGGAACAAGACAGGGAACCATTGTTTTCCCCTCATTCTCAACCAGGGCAAGCAAAGGAAAAGCAAGACAAATTAATTGGTATAACAGCCCATTTGATTTACAGCTGAAATCTTTCTTTGGTATCTCCCCCATTAGAATAGGAGCTCCTTTAGAGCAAGGCCTGTCTTCCTTTTCTATTTGTATCCCCAGCCCTCTGCAGGTAGTAAGCACTTAATAAATACTTTATCATTTCCTTCCTTCCCTCGTTTATTCATTCATAGCCATAATCAGCCCCCAACTCCATAGCTCCATTCAGAGCAGCCACACATTCCCTGACACTGGTAATTCCAACTAACTTAACTTAAAATTCACATGAATCAGTAGCACCCCCCCCCCGAAAAATCCTGAACAGCAGAGAAAATGCAAGATCATCATTTTAATTTGACTGGAATGATAGTTCCCATTTCTATATACTTTAAAGTAAAACAAAGTGTTAAAAAAAATTTAAATCACCAGATTATACATGACTGTGGATGAGTCAATAAATTTCTATGGCTCAATTTCCTCTTCTATACAGTGGCAATAGTAATATCTGCAGGTTCCACCTCACAGAGGTGTTTGGTGACTCAAATTAGATAACATAGGTAAATCACTAGGCAAAAAATTTTAAAGAGGTATGTCACTACCAGCTAGCATTGTTAATATCTATTATGGTGAGTTTTGCCTGAATGACTATCAAAATGTTTGCTTTTCCTAAGGAAAACCTCAAGGCTTACTAGAAGGAAAAAATCAGGGAAGCATTGCTGAGGAAACTAAGCTAGCATAGTTAGAAGCGGCAATGGATAATTGGGAGTTGACTGTATTGATGATCAAGCTAAGAGACAAAGAAGATTGTATGACTATTTGAATGTTTGACAAACTGGAAGAAGACTATAATTCCACATCAATGGAGCTCAGCTCCCAGAGGGCAGGTTCACCTGCTGAGTTTAACTTAGAAATGTTCACAGGACACTGAGAATACTACTTCCTAATACTGGGTTATTGACAAAAAAGAACTGCAATGCCTTTGTTAATGAGAATAATGAGAGCAATAATAACAGTAATAAAGAAAACAAAAAATAACACATAAGACTTTAAGATTTGCAAAGCAAAATATTATCTCATTTGAACCATGCAATAACCCTGGATGATAGGTACTATTATTAGCCCCATTATACAGATGAGAAAACTTAGGCAGACAGGTTAAGTGACTTTCCCAACATCACATGACTAGTAAGTGTCTGAGGCAGGATTTCAACTCAGGTCTTCCTGAATCCAGGATCCAGGACCTGGCTGGCCCTCAGACCATTCTACTGGAGCACCTTCTCAAAGTTCTCCCTTGCCCCTTTCACAAGGTTTACTCTGCCCCTTTCCCATTATTTTAAAGTCCTCCAGAAGTCTCCACCTCCAGCCTCTTTTTCAATAGAATAATAATTACAATAAATTCAATGTACTTTCCTCATAAGAGTCCTCCCTATGAAGAAGGTACTGCAAGTCTTTTTATTTCCATTTTACAGATGAAGAACCTGAGTCTCAGACAGGTTAAGCACATTAGCTACGATTATCCATCTGGTGAGTGCTAGAGCAGAGACCCAAACCAAGTCTCACAGACTCAGATCCATTGTCCTTTTCCCCTACACACACATACAGTCCTCTCTCCCCCTAAGAGGAAAGTCACAAAATGGCTTGAGAACTCAGTGGAGAAACATTTGGATTTCAGCACCAAAATGATCAGCCTTCCATTAAGAGCAGTGCCTCTCCACCCAAAGCTATTTCTATGGACCCAAGACTAGGGATGCTCTCCTCTGCCTCCTTAGTTCATGTAGGCACCAGCATCATTCACAAGCATCCAGCCTCCAAGCAAGACGTCTTGGCCCAGAGTTACCCTTTGAGTCATCCAAGTATGAGATTCTATAGTTGGAGATTAGAACTCCCATTATTGAACCCCAATCCCTCACCTCACTCCTTTTCCTCATCTATTTCAAATAGCTCCAAATGTTCCCACCACCAGCAGCAGGAAACCACAAACACTCACTTTGTCAATGAAGGTGGCAAATTTGTTGTTGAGATCCTTATCTGTTCCCTCTCTCTGGTCTTCACTTTTTGAATCTCAGGGTCAATCTCCACATTGAGTGGCTGCAGGAGACCCTGGTTGATGGTCACCTCCTGGATGCCTCCAGGGGGACAGACATTCCCAAAGCTTCCTCCACCAAAACCACCCCCTGGACTTCCAAAGCCCCCACCTAAGCCCCCACCACCAAAGCCACCACCGCCATAGCCACCACCGCCAAAGCCACCACCGCCAAAACCACCACCACCATAGCCGCCGCCACCGAAACCACCACCACCATAGCTGCGGCCACTGAAACCACCACCACCATAGCTGCTGCCACCAAATCCTCCACCACCGTAGCCGCCGCCACCAAAACCACCTCTTCCATAACTGCCACCAGCAACACTCTGACAGATTCTCTTGGAGCCACCTAAGTTAATCAGACTTTGGCTTCCAAAACCACCACCACCAGCTCTATAGCTTCCACCTGAAAATATGCCCCCACCTCCTCCACTCCTGCGAATGGTGGAGCTGCTTGTCACCCTGCGACTGTAGGAGACCCCAGCAGAGCCTGAGCTGAAGCCACCACCACCACCACTCCGATAGCCAGATCTGGAACTAAACTGTCGACTCATGTTGACCCAACAAGGGGACAGACAGCAGAAGAGAGGAGGAAGGAGCAAGGAGCTAAGCACTCCTTTACTTGTAGCAGAGTGGCTTCCTCCTTATATATACATTGGAGGAACTGGGTTTGGTCCCATGGAGTCAGTGGAGATTTAGAGCAATCTGAAGGGCTTGGTTTGCCTTGCAGCCATGCAAGATCTTTACGAGCCCCAACAATACAATAAACACTACACACCTAGCTCCCAGGATGGGGCCTGGAAATTGCTGCTCCTGCAAAATCCATTCAAGTGGTAATCAGTTTACCAAAGATATCTCTCTTCATCAAACTCATCTGATGTTAGGGAAGCAGGACCCCAAAACTCCTTTCCTGATACCTCTGCTTGGTCTTTCATCAATTTGCCTTGAAGTTATGCCAACTCCGTCTCAGAGCTTTGCCTTTCACTCCACAAGAAGGCTCCTCCTACAGCTCCACGCACCAGCCCATATATTGCAGGAGGACATCCTCATCCTCCTCATGCTTTCAAACCTGACTCCCAGCTCTCCCTAGGCTCCCAGCTCACCAGATCAATTACCCCTCTTTCATTGCCACAGATTTTCAAGTCCCAGCCCTTCTAGGGGGATCTTTCTACTCAAATCAGGGACTAGTTCACCCTTAGGTACTGCTTTCTTGACAATAACACTGTGAAATTGTTCTCCCATTTTCCATTCAAGGACAGTTCCAGGATGGAAGCTCAGAGAGGTCCAGCCCTAGTTCCCCTGCCCACATAGCCAGCTAAGAAAGATCAGTGCCAGGAAGCAAACTCAAGTCTCCTGATTCAAAATTAACACTCTTGTCCACCATCCCAAGGTTCTTCTCAGATTGATCAGGGGATATGTGCTGCACTTGTATTCCAGAAGACCTGAGTTAGCTCACTCAACTTTTTTATTTTTCCTCAGTTTCCTCATCTATAAAATGGGAACAAAAAGAGATACCACCCTCCCAGGTTAATGTGAGGATCTGATGAGATAACATATAAGTGCTTTGCAAACCTTGAAGCATGATATAAATGCTAGTTACTATTATGTGACAGCTTCCTTTAATTCTCTCTCACCTTGGGCACAGTATTCCTGTAACTACTGTCTCCATAAAGGTCATCTCAGCTACACATTAAACTCCCTTCTCTCTTACTTTTGGCCCACCTCTGACATAAATAGGCTAGTGACCATTGATGCTTTGTTTTCTGCATTTCCTTCTGTGATCTCTGTTCATTTATCCACATCAGCATGCCTTTTCTCCTAAGTTCCTAGATGACAGAGAATGTCTCAGTGGGCTTTTTAGAGGAGAATGGTATCCAAAAAAAGACCTTCCCCCACATCCTGAAGACTTGAACTTGACACTCCTCCCCTCCCCCCAAGTTCAAGTAGCACTGACTGGACAGAGATCCTGGGTCAGTTTCCTTCTCTATACAACAGGGACAGAAATTCTTTTGCTCCCTGTTCCAGTTAGGCTGGTGAGAGGATCAAGCAAAATTGGGCCCTTAATGGGCTCTGTAAACTTTAAAGGGCTATACAGAGGTCAGCTATTGTTTGCTCTGAAGAGTGCTAACACTGCCCACTATCCCCACCATCCCCACCCACCCCACCCCCATGAGATGCCTGCTTTCTGATGCTGAGAATCTGTCTGCAAGAGAAGGCAACTGCATGGGTGCTTGTCTCAATGTAGACAGAAGGCAGAGAACCAAAATAAGGACCAGTGCACATGCTCCAAGCCTGAGCAGAGTTGGGATGGCAGCCTAAGAGAAACCAAGCATCTGTTCTCTGGGTTCAAGCAAGTCATGCTTCTGACATGTCCTGGTTCTCATCATTTACCTCTCAAAGCTCTCAGCAACGCCCTGAGACTAGAATGTGCAGAGAAGGTGCCAACCTGCTTTGGCAGAGGAAGGCTCTTTACCTGGGAACTCCCTGTACCAATGAGATTGCAGGCCTAGGCCATATCCCTTCTCTCTCTAACAAAATCCTTTTCTGATAGATTTCACTGGACTTCATCAAGAAGGAACTCTGAGTTTCCTACCAGAAAGACTTTTCCCATGGAAGAGATGGAAAGATACAGACAATTAATGAGATAGTAAATTGCAAATGCTCTTAAATCTTAGAAAAATAAGTCATATATGTTTTATGGAAGAGAGAGCAGCTTAACCATTGCCATGTTGTAACTAAGAAGTACCAGACCATGTTCCTAGTATTTGTAGAAGAGACTAAACAATGATGAAGTACTTACATGGTAATAGTGAGAGAAGAAACACATGTCCTTTGGAACCCTAATATCTTCTAAAGTCACAGGCACAGTGAAATAAGACAGACAGAAGGCCTGAGTCTGATTTCAATCTGTTTTGGCCATCTTAAAAGAAGACATAAAATGGATGGGTCTCTAAGGAAGAAATTGGGAAGAAAGACAGGAACTTACTATTTCTCATAATTTGGGTATATGAAAAAAAGATTCTGCAAACATGAAGAAAGGAGTAGGAAGAATAGAAAGGAAGATTGAACTTCACTCTTATCTGAATTGACAATGAAGGACTGCATGCATACTAGGGGTTTGATAGGAAAGGGAGTAAGGATTAAAAAGAACAAAGGAAAAAAGTGTCAATGAAATTTTGTGTGTGTGTATATATATATATATATATATATTATATATATATATATATATACATATATATATATATACTTAATGTGCAGAAGAGTATATGCAGTTTATTATCTTTAAGAGCATAATCAGAATTATTGTACCAAATCACAGCTTATCCAAGAGTATATTAATATGTCTGATTTTCCAGAGCCCCTCCAATATTTTCTTTTATAAAATCAGCTCTACTAATATAATATACATGGGGGAGAAGCTTAGAGTTGCTTTAGTTTGCATTTTTTTAATTATTATTCATCTTCATAATTATTTTTTAATATGGCAATAGTTAACTTGGATTCTTTCCCTTAAGAACTGGCTGTTCATATTTTTTTATCATTTTTCCTTGAGAGATGGCTTTTGTTCATAGAAATTTAAATCAATTCCTTATACATTTTAAAAATAAGACATTTTTCAGTGAAAATTTCTGCAAAGATTCCCTCCCCAGTTATCTGCTTTCTTTCTAATTTTTGCTGCATTTTATTCACTTGTGCAAACTTTTTTCAATTTACATAATCGAAATTGCCCATTTCATTTCCTATGACCCACTCTATCCCTTGTTTGGTCAAAAACTCTTCCTCTTCATAGATCAGAAAAGTAATTTTTTCCCCTCATTTGTTTGTGATGTGTCCTTTTCTATGTATATCATGTTTCCATTTGAACATTATCTTGGTATGTAGTGTGAGGTGTTGTTCTAAAACTAATTACCTCCAGGCTGCTTCCAGTTTTCCCAGACATTTTTTGTCAAATCATGATTCCTTACCCCAGTAGCTGAGGTCTAATTCTACAAAAAGTTACTAAATTGTCCATAGACTTTGACCCATCAGTACCACTATATGCCAAAAAGATAAAAGAAAGAAGAAAAGGGGTGTGTGTATGTTTATGTGTGTGTGTGTGTATATATACGTATGTGTATAAATATACATTTACACATATGTAGATGAACATATTCGTGGTATCTCTTTTTTGTGGTAAAGAATTGAAAATGAGGAAGATGCTTATCAAGGAGAATAGCTGAATAAATTATGGCATGTGAATGTAAAAGATGGTGTAAAGAAATATTGTTGTGCTGTTAGAAAAAACAAAGGAAACAGTTTCACAGAAACCTAGGAAGACATGTATGAATTGATGGAGAGTGAAATAAGCAGAACCAGGAAGAAGATTTCTTCTCAGCTCTGGTCTTTGCATTAGGAGTACTTAAAAAGTCCTTTATTCTATTAAAGGTTTATCCTCCCCATGCCCCAATACTATTTATTATACATACTATTAAATATTACAATAAATATTATATTACAAATGTTTTGTTTATTGTATTAATTATATTAGAATATTATAAATACTATTAAATAAATGATAATCAGTATTTTTGGGTAAATTATTCTTGGTCTTAAGTCTTTAGCTTTTGCCTTTTGAAATATCATACCTACTGTCTTACCCTACAGGAAAATAGGGAGAGAAGGGGACAAGACAGCAGGGGATGATAGAGAGGAGGGCAGATTGGGAAAGGGGGTAATCAGAAGTAAATACTTCTGAGGAGGGACAGGGTCAAAAGAAAGAATAGAATAAATGGGAGGGCAGGATAGGATTAAGGGAAATAGAGTTAGTTTTTCACAACATGTCTACTATGGACGTGTTTTGCATAATTGAGTTGCTTGCCTTTTCAATGAGGGTGGGTGAGGAGGGAGGAAGGGAGAAAATTTGACACCTAAAGTTTTAGAAACATATGTTTAAAAAAATGTTTTCATATGCTACTGGGAAATAAGAAATATAGAAATGGAGTACAGAAGTCTATCCTGCCCTACAGGAAAATAGAAGGGGAAGGGAATAAGAGAAGGGGAGAGAGATAGAAGAGAGGACAGACTAGGGGAAAGGATATTCAGAATGCATGACATCTTGGGGTGGAGGAGGGGGGAGATGGTGTGAAAATTTGGAACTCAAAAACTTGTGGAAGTGAATGCTGAAAACTAAAAATAAATAAATTTATATTTAAAAAAAATATCATACCTATGAAAAATGTTATGGAGAAAGAAATGACAAACCTTGGTGAATTTTATTTATGAAAATAAAATTGTAAAAACAAACACCTTTGAAGGACTTAACAATGTTGATCAAACCTTTGGAGAATCCTACCTGTGTCCTGATAGACAGGTGTTGCATATATAAAGAACAAGACACATGTTTATGGAAGTAGCCAATGTTGGGATCCATTTTGCTTGACTTTGCATATTTGTTATCAGAGATTTTTTTCTTTTTTTTTTTCAATTCAGAGAGTGGGTAGTGCCTTGAGGAAGAGAGAAAATAAATGCTTGGTTTTTTTTAAAATTTACAACACACACATATACATATACATATATACATACATATACATATACACATACATATACATATACATATACAT